ATACTAAAACCAATTGACAATAATATGAGTAACTCCTCTACCTTATATAGTGGAACCATCTCTTCTCTTTCTCCAATGTGGGACACTCACAAGTGAGTCAGGGTTTCAACAGGAATTTAGTTCTATAATTTTGAAGTCTTGAGTAATCAAATTCCCTTATTTTGAGTTAAACTCTACATTACGAATAAATGAGCTTATCATGAATATATGATACTTTATATATTGCAAACTTAAAAGGTTTGAGCCTCAAGCTGTTCTTGATAGAATTTTTTTTTTAATTTCTGGAATCATATATTGGTTGATTTATGTTAGAGATATAGGATATCGGAAAATATATGTGGGATATATTTTCCGTAGATATTATTAAGAGAATAATATACTTAGGTTTATTTTATGGTAAGATATTATTTAGAGAATATATCTTTAGGATTATTTATGATTATGATAGTATATCTTTTAGGAATATTGTTTCTTATCTTATGAGCGTAGATTTTGTATAAATACTCTATCTATTGATGAATAGTATAAAAAGCTATTCTATTCTCTCTTCACCCTAATTTGTCAATTTATTAGTGGGAAGTAAGTGCACTTGCTCGGTGTAGCTGGTCATTTTGTCATTTAACTTTTTTTTTTCCCCCCACCAAAGCATTCCGAAGTAAAGGTCTGTTTCCTTGGGATTTCTGTACCCAAAGATGGCACCATTTATGAAATACTGTGATGTTCTTTTCTTCTTTGATGCTTTTCTCTGTATAGTCTTGGAAGAATGATCCTTTCATTCAGGATTAAGGGTCTACTTTATTGACTTTTGCTCAATATTTCTCTACCTTACATTACTAACTTCATTTCTCTACCTGAGGAAGTGCATCGTTTGGATCCCACTTCCAGTGGACGTGGTGTCCGTCAATTCAAAACTGCGCTTCTTCAAAGGCTAGAAAAGGTTGTACACCATCGTCTTATCTGAGATCTGGGTTGGTATTATTGATTTTTTCCAAGGATATAGGTTGAGAGTTGACAGTTAAGATTAATGTGGTCAATTAATTCTTTGTTATGATCTTGGTCATTTTAATATTGAAATTATTGTTAGAATATCTGAACTTGTGGACATACTTTTCCTTTTCGTATTAATCTATCTTTGTGGTGAAATTTTATAGGTGGTGACGTTAAATTATTATCTGATATTTTTTTTTCTCCGTTGACAGTAAAATCAAAATACTGTCCCCTTCTGCTTATTTTTCTGTTGTGAAGTATGACCAGTTTGTTGATTGCTGCATCTGACCTTATTATATTGTGCAAGTTCATTTTCAGATTCCATCTCTGCTATTATCATCTGGCTGGTTCTTATAAATTTCAGTCCTGCAGGAAAATGATCAGACATTGATGGGGAGGGTAAAAAAAAGCGATGCACCGGAGATGCAAAGTTTTTATCAGCATTTCTACAAGACATATATTCAAGCATTGCAAAATGCTGCTGATAAGGCTGATCGGTGAGTTGCTTATGACAGGGTGAAAATAATTTGAAATTGTTTTGTCAGCTATGTTGCTGCTTTATTACCACCTTATCAAACAATTTTGTGTTCAGTGTTCAGTGCTCAGCTCACAAAGGCGTATCAAACTGCTGATGTTTTCTCTGAGGTGTTGAAGGCTGTCAACTCGACGCAATGCACCAAAGTTGACGGTGAGGTGAGATGAATTGATCTTTTGTAGGGCTGTCTTGAATTTTAAGCGTGTTTTTTCTACTTTTGTTTTAGTGGTAACCATCAATTTTGGTGCTTGTTCTGTCTTAACTGTTTATTGATCTTGGATATACACAATGTTTCGGCAACAAAATGACTTCCTGAGCTTTAAAAAGTGTAATAAATCTGTTGTAGTAAAATGGTGGCATTTTATAGGACTTTTTGCTTCAAACTTGCTTTGCAAATGAATCCATTACAACTTTGCGATTAATTTAAAAGAAACAACAGTGGCTACAGAGTGCACATTTCTATCTACTTCCACAACAGAGTAATATTCTATTGTTCTCTAACCTTATACTTGGACTAAACTTGTGTATTTTTTTAGCTTTCACTTATATTTGAACAAAGTAGGTTTGTTAATATTATTCTGTATCACCCGTATTACAAGAAATAATAAAAATAGACTCTAAAAACTAAGAGTAATAAAATAAACTATTATCAAATTAGACTATGATATGTTTTTGTATAAACCAAGAGTAATAAAATAATTAAAGGTAGTAAGGTATTACATAATGCACAACCTTAAGAATTTGATTGTATTAAGGCATCTAAAGCACAGTGTTTAGTTACTAATTGTATCAAACAATGTTCTATTCTTTTTTCTTGCCTTAATATACAATACTAAGTATGTATCAAATTATCAATATTTACTATCATACTTTTTAATGCAGTGATTGAATAGAGAAAGGAGAGAACTACGTCCTAATCAAATACTTGGATGCATGAGGCAATGTATAATCACAATTATGTGGTTGATTGAGAGATAAGAAATTACATTAAAAATAAAATTGTTGTTATTCCTTTGTTGGATGCTAATGACGAGTGGTGGGATTGTGGAAATGTCCAACTACCTATTACTCTGTTTTAACATAGTCTTATTACTCCATTGCATGTATAATATATACAAGTATGTGTAATTTATCTAACTATTGTTGTTGGATGTGGTGTGCTCCAACCTTCTCTTATATAATGTGTAATTTATTTAACTATCATTGTTGTATAATGTGTAATTATTTATTTATCATTGTAGTATTTGGTCAATGAAAAAAAAACCAGAAAGAAAAAGAAAGTGGATATAAGATATTAATCAATCAATCAGAACCTTAACCCCATAAGTGGAGTCGGTTACATGATAGGAGATATAAAAATTGCACTTTGGACTTAAGTTTGTTTAGAAAATGAGCAAAACTTGCACTAAGAGTTAATGACATAAAATCTAACTTTGCTCATTTTTATTTAAATGATTAAAAATAGCCTAATAGCATTTGTTTAAAAAATGAAAAACTTTACTTGGGTTGAATTTTTGGAATTATTTTTTGTTATTGTTGGGGTGCTCCTAATATAGTTACTCCATAATAATTTTTTGTCTACTCATGGTCCTAGTTGGAATAGAGAGTAAACGAGAAGAAGAGTTTGGACACATTTGCATAAATTTTGCAAAATAAACGTGCTCATCTTTAACTAATTAGCCAAAAAAACAATGCTTCATTTTACAGATTAATAAATATTATTTCATCAACTCCATTTTATTTGTAATATTAGGATGTTGGCATTATTCATACTTTTACCTTTCATGTCATATTTTGATTTATATATATATATATATATATATATATATATATATATATATATATATATATATATATATATATATATATATATATATATATATATATATATATAGTCATGTGAGACTTATTAAATTCGTTCCAATTTGTAATTTATAAAAATTTAATTTTAACTGTCAGTGTCACAAATAAAATGGAATTGAGGAAGTAATTATATATATATATATATATATATATATATATATATATATAATATAGTCATGTGAGACTTATTAAATTCGTTCCAATTTGTAATTTATAAAAATTTAATTTTAACTGTCAGTGTCACAAATAAAATGGAATTGAGGAAGTAATTATTATTCCAATCTTCGTAAAGAAACAAAAACATTATTCCAATTAGGTGGTGATTATCTTTAAAAATAAAAAAAGGTTGGTGATTAAGGTGAGACCGAGGAAGATTAGGTACATAAGTAACTCCACGGTGAGATTGTGTGATTTGTATGATAGCAAATACTAGTAAGAAAAGAGTTGTATTGGGTAACGCAAACGGTTGTTGGCTCATAGCTTTATTATGCTTTGACTCATGTTGATGTTTGAGCTGGGTCTCACTTTTATGCACACTAATTTGGGCACAAATAAATATACTTAATAGGTAAAATATTTTATAGACAATTTAACTTTAAAAAAGTACTTAAATGGAATAAACATAGTACCACAAATGCCGTAATATCCCTACATTATTCTCCTACTACCCGTTATGACTCAAGCATGCGTGGGGCTCGAACTAAAATAATAAAACAATTATGTATTTATGGAGTACTAAGTACAATACGTATTTTAAGAATTTTCGTTACATTTTTTTTTACTCATTTGATTGGGATTCAACATCATTTAAATTATTTTATTTACTTTTTACCTAATAAAATCATATGAGCCTAATACATTTCTCTTAACCCCTTTACAAACAATAACTTTAATCAATCTTATTTGTATTCAAAATAAATCAACAATATGTCACTTAATGTAATGTATGTATAAGAGAAATAAAGCTTATGTCTAGTTGAGCATGGATAGGATTGTACAAGTTCACATGACATGCCAATAAGCCCCATGTTTAGTCAAGCTAAGAAAAACATGTATAGCATACGTCGTGTGGATTTACACGAGCAAAGTTTACGTACAACTGAGCTCAGTGTCATGTCAAAGTCGATCACCATTAGTCAAAAATAAGAAATCCCATTAGTCATACCAAATTCTATATGACGTTGAATTTAAACAAATCTTATGTTAAATTTAGGCTTAAACTTAAAAACCAAAGGAGTAAAATAAATACACTACTGAGGATAAAAATGTCAAAAGAAAAACCCCAATTGAGTTTTAAAACGGCTACTTATTTTACCTCACCACAAAATACATCACCACCTCCACGAATCTTTCACTTTTTCAAAATTCAAATCGCATTTCCAACTCTACCCCTTACCTCCCCCAAAACCACCACTATCAACACCCAAAATCACAAAAACCACCCAGGGCAAAACCGTAAATTCAGAACCTCAAAGAATAAAAGTAGAAAGTGGTACCCACAATTCACAGTAAAATCCAAATATCTTCTCAAAACATACAGTATACCACTGCAACAGTAGTTACTCACACTTTGTTGAAATCAATCAGTCTTTTTCTTTTCCTTTTTTTAATTTCTCCATTGCTTTGCTTTAATTTCTTACTCCTTAAGTAGCTCTCACACTACTTTCTCTCTCTAAAACTGTATCACTTTCTCTCTCCTAGGGCACACTTTTTTTGTCCTTTCTCTCTCCTCTGTTCTTGCAGTTTTCTCCATTTTTGAAACTAATTAAGCTCGATGCTGCTCTTTTCACTTACTTTTTAGCTCCATTTTCTGGTATTTCTTTCTTTTTCTAGACTTTCCTTTTTTGGCTTGATTTTTTGGGATTTTTTTTGGATTTTTGTGTGTGTGTTTTTAATTGGAGTAATATGCTGTTGATAATTCCTTTTTTTTAGTATTTATTTGCTGTAATTGGTAATTAATTTAGTGATTGAATTTAATAGAAATCTAGTGAATGTTTTATTTTATTTTTGTTTAAATACCAGTATATAATCAGCTTTATGCATCATGCATGCTGCTTTTTCTCTGTAGAACTGCCTTTTTTTCTTCTTTTTTTTGTTTTGTGATTTTTGAGTTATTTAATTTAGATTGAGTAGTTGATTGAATTGAAATGGGATGTACGGAGTATATAATTAGGTTGATGCATTTTGGTGTCAGTGGATTAGTACCATTAAGCTTGATTGATCTCTCTTATGGGTGATTTGATTGAACTGAAATGCTCTAGTTTTAATTTGGACAGGGATTTTGAAGTGAAGTAATTAAGTAAGTAAGTAAAGGATGGCATCGCCATCGACTTCCAGAGGTGGAGGTTCTGATCAACCGCCAGGAAGGAAGTTGATGAGGACTCAAACGGCGGGGAATCTTGGTGAAACCGCTTTCGACAGTGAGATTGTTCCGTCTTCTCTTGTCGAAATTGCACCCATCCTTCGTGTTGCCAATGAAGTTGAAAAGCATAATCCCAGGGTTGCTTATTTATGTATGTTTTCCATTCTCAGTTTTTTTTTTTTTTTTTTTTTTTTTTTTTTTTTTTTTTTTGGGATTGTTGGGTGTTTGTGCATCTTTAGTTCTCAATCATATCAATAAGTAAAATGGTGATTTTAAAAGTTTGAAACTTTAAAGGGAAGAGGGTGTGGGCTGCTCAATTATCTCCGTAATGAACATTGTAGATTATCAAGTTACTTATACAATGTGAAATTACGAGTTAAGATGCTATTTTAGTGACCCTATTGGCTGTTGATGTTGTGTAGAAAGGAGAAGGTGGATATGTAAGTGTTTTTTGTTACATTGATTGAGTGTACCCAAAATTTGAGGTGCTCAAACCAACTATCTTTCTAGGATGTTTGTTTGATTGCTTGCTTTATTTGGAGTGTCCATTAGTCTTGAAGAGCCCAAATGCAGAACATTGGAAATGGAGTACGAACATCGGTTGATAGGTCTCGATACTTTGCCGGGGCAAGACCCAACTATTTGGGAATTGTTAAATTTTGAGAGAATATAAAATGGGCCAGGGCAACCCGAACAAGGGGAGGAGAGTTTGGTCCAAAAACAAGGTTAAGGAGATTTCATACTAAAACCAATTGGCAATAGTAGGAGTAACTCCTCTACCTTATAAAGTGAAACCATCTCTTCTTTTTCTCCAATGTGGGACACTCACAAGTGGGCTAGGGTTTCAACAGGAATTTAATTCTATAATTTTGAAGTCTTGAGTAATCAACTTCCCTTATTTTGAGTTAAACTCTACATTACGAATAAATGAGCTTATCATGAATTTATGGTACTTTATATATTGCAAACTTAAAAGGTTTGAGCCTCGAGCTGTTCTTGATAGAATTTTTTTTAAATTTCTGGAATCATATATTGGTTGATTTATTAGTGGGAAGTAAGTGCCCTTGCTCGGTGTAGCTGGTCATTTTGTCATTTAACTTTTTTTTTTTCCCCACCAAAGCATTCCAAAGTAAAGGTCTGTTTCCTTGGGATTTCTGTACCCAAAGATGACACCATTTATGAAATACTGTGATGTTCTTTTCTTCTTTGATGCTTTTCTCTGTATAGTCTTGGGAGAATGATCCTTTCATTCAGGATTAAGGGTCTACTTTATTGACTTTTGCTCAATTTTACTCTACGTTACGTTACTAACTTCATTTTTACTGTTCAATGCTCATTTTGTGCATTGATTACTAATGTTGGCTTGCAGGTAGGTTCTACGCATTTGAGAAAGCGCATCGTTTGGATCCCACTTCCAGTGGACGTGGTGTCCGTCAATTCAAAACTGCACTTCTTCAAAGGCTAGAAAAGGTTGTACACCATCGTCTTATCTGAGATCTGGGTTGGGATTATAGATTTTTTCCGAGGATATAGGTTGAGAGTTGACAGTTAAGATTAATGTGGTCAATTAATTCTTAGTTATGATCTTGGTCATTTTAATATTGAAATTATTGTTAGAATGTCTGAACTTGTGGACATACTTTTCCTTTTCGTATTAATCTATCTTTGTGGTGAAATTTTATAGGTGGTGACGTAAAATTATTATCTGATTTTTTTTTTCCGTTGACAGTAAAAATCAAAATATTGTCACCTTCTGCTTATTTTTCTGTTGTGAAGTATGACCAGTTTGTTGATTGCTGCATCTGACCTTATTATGTTGTGCAAGTTCATTTTCAGATTCCATCTCTGTTACTATCATCTGGCTGGTTCTTATAAATTTCAGTCTTGCAGGAAAATGATCCGACATTGATGGGGAGGGTAAAAAAAAGCGATGCACGGGAGATGCAAAGTTTTTATCAGCATTACTACAAGAAATATATTCAAGCATTGCAAAATGCTGCTGATAAGGCTGATCGGTGAGTTGCTTATGACAGGGTGAAAATAATTTGAAATTGTTTTGTCAGCTATGTTGCTGCTTTATTACCACCTTATCAAACAATTTTGTGTTCAGTGCTCAGCTCACAAAGGCGTATCAAACTGCTAATGTTCTCTTTGAGGTGTTGAAGGCTGTCAACTTGACGCAATCAATGGAAGTTGACCGTGAGGTGAGCTGAAATGAGATTAATTGATCTTTCATGGGGTTGTTTTGATTTTTCTGCATGTTTTTTTTTTTTTTTCTTTTTTTCCTTATGTTTTAGCTGTAAGTCTTGTAACCATCTATTTTGATGCCTATTCCGTCATTTGAATAGACTAACTTTGTTGGTGTTTACTGTTTATAGATCTTGGATACACACAATAAAGTTGCAGAGAAAACTGAAATCTATGCCCCATACAATATTCTTCCTCTTGATCCTGATAGTGCGAATCAAGCAATTATGAGATATCCAGAGGTTCGTTTGTCTGTAATATGGATCTTATTTGCTTATGTTTGCTACTATCTCTTTACACTTTGATCCAATTTGCAGATCCAAGCTGCTATGTCTGCCCTTCGTAATACCAGAGGCCTTCCTTGGCCCAAGGACTACAAGAAAAAGCAAGATGAAGACATTTTGGACTGGCTTCAGGCGTTGTTTGGATTTCAGGTAATTATATTTCTTCGATGGTCAAATAATATAATTATTACTATGCATTAGTTATTGTTTGTTTGGAAATCATGGGAAGTGTTCACTTGTTACCATAATCCTGCTTCTATGACATTTATTGTTGTTTATACGAATTGATTTGCAGAAAGATAATGTGGCTAATCAAAGAGAGCACCTTATTTTATTGCTCGCAAATGTTCATATAAGACAAGTTCCAAAGCCTGATCAACAACCAAAGGTGATTTTATGCCTCACTAATTAAGTTCAGTGCTTATTTCCTTTATGTGAAATTCTTGTGTGATTATTCTTTGTTTGACCTCAATTTATTAACCCTTAAAATTTTGTTGTGTATATATCTGCTCTATATATTTAGAAATTGTGTACATGATCATGAATTGCCTCTGTTTTGCACTATTTCTGACTAGCATTATTGCCTTATCTATAAGTGCATTAGTCACTCAATTGCATTGCTATTTTGTTAGCTCTCTACATTTGATCTCTAGATCACTCTAACAAAATCATGTGGTTACAGTTGGATGAACGTGCATTGACAGTAGTGATGAAAAAACTCTTCAAGAGCTATAAGAAATGGTGCACGTACTTGGACCGCAAGAGTAGCCTTTGGTGAGCTTCCTTGCTCTCAAATTACTGTGCAATGCTGGCTGACACATAGTCCGTTTGATGCTAGAAGACTAGTTATTTATTCTGTTGCCTTTGACGTATTAAATTATTGATGCAAGTTTATCATGCACACCTGATTTTAATATTACCTGGTTTCTATTTCTGTGTTTTGGTTGTTGGGGGGGGGGGAGATAATTGGTAGTGCTGCTATGTTTTTCTGGTAACTATGGAATCTGTAAGCTCTTTAGTGGGATATATAAGGTTATTAATCATGTTGGTGGCTTAATTTATCTGATAAATTGTAGGATGCCGACAATACAACAGGAAGTACAGCAACGTAAACTCTTGTACCTGGGCCTGTATCTTCTTATTTGGGGGGAAGCTGCAAATCTGAGATTTATGCCAGAATGTCTATGCTATATCTATCACCATGTATGCTTCTAAACCATTGTACTCTCAAATTGGTGGTTTATTCGCAATATGATAATTAGTAATATTTTCTAACTTATTTATGTCTTTGGACATCGTTTATATTCGTCAAAATCTTTTTTTTCCTCGTGTAATTTCACAAGTCCATGTTTCACTGCTGACGTTGCATGCTTACTGCTGACGTTGCATGCTTATTGGTACTAGAGTTAGGATCCACCCTTCCTTTGTTAGTATTTTACTAATCCAATGCTTTCGCGGAGTATTTTATATAATTTGAGTGGTATAGCTCTTTAGGGAATCATGATCAATGAATGAGAATCAAAGGTTCCTAACTTACAAATTAGAAAGATATATAAAAATTATTAGCATAAAAGCTATTAAATAAATTTCCTCCGTTCTTTTTTACTTGACTCGTTTTTACTTTTACACTATTCACCACCCCTCCTTTGACCATCTTTTGTGAATAATATGTAAGGAAAAACATATTCACGTGGGATCTTTTTGAATTAGTCTCAATAAGTACTATCATAATATATAACTGTTACAATTTTTACTTATGGAGAATTAAAGTTATTGATCGTTAAACTTTTGCATGGGCAAGTGTGATAAAAGAAACAGGTCAAGTAAAAAAGAAAAAATGAAGTATATAGAAAGATTAGTGGATTCAAGCTTACAAGTTAGCAAGACTAATAAAGATAAATTTTAAAACCGAGGGAGATTGGCAGCACTAAGATAATTTTACTTTATAGTGTGTATTTCCAAGTTTTTTCTATGTGTTAAAAAATTTGCTTTGTAGATGAGTTTGTGAGTTATCGGTGGATTTATCTTGGTCGACTTGTTATTAATTGATGTTCTCCTCTCCTATAGATGGCATTTGAACTTTATGGAATGCTTGCTGGAAATGTTAGTCCCCAGACGGGTGAGAATGTGATGCCAGCATATGGTGGTTCAGAAGAGGTCTTTTTAAGAAAAGTTGTAACACCTGTTTATGGAGTTATTCGACGGGTATTATTTCAATTTCTTTATTGCCAATTTTCTGTCTGAACTTTATTTTGCTTTATGAGTATGTTATATGTGATTGTTTGCTTCTCAGGAAGCCGAAAGTAGCAAAAAAGGAAAATCCAAGCATGCAGAGTGGAGAAATTATGATGATCTGAATGAATACTTTTGGTATTTTATTGTTAAGGTTTCTACATCCTTTTCTTTGTATATAAAATATTATCAATTTCCAATATATATCTATGTTTTTTTGCAGGTCAGTCGATTGTTTCCGCTTGGGCTGGCCAATGCGGACACACGAAGACTTCTTTACTTTGACTCTTGAAGAGCGTCGTCGCAAAATAAAAAGTGAGCCTCGCCAAGATAAAAGTGGGGTATGATATCATAACTTTTAATAATTGATGTGCAGTAATCGTATATATGTGGAAAGGTTAGAAGTCAAAATGTTGCCACTGGACAAAGTATATTGAAATCGATTATTTATGACATACAAATGCTAAATATTTACTATGAAAAACTAAATTATAGATTTAAGTTTCTTTATTGAGTGTGTGAATATTATGGATCTTGTTTGTTAGCATTTGTCATTGCAACAAAGAGAATTTAGAACTCGTGAGACACATGAAAATCAAATAGGACAAATCTTCTGATGTTGTTAGTCAAGCTCATTGATTGTGTTGATTTTGGGAATTATTCAAGTGTTTTTTGCTTCCCAAAAGTAGATACCAAACCTTGTCTTCCCCGGTTGAAATGTGCATATTGCCTAATTTGGTCCAAGTGATGGATCGGGATGCATAATGACTTGGATTCCTTTTTAAAACCCAAAAATCCTACAGAATGGCTGTTACGTAATGGAACCGCCGAGTTTTAACTTTTTTTTCGTCAAAATAACTACCTCTCCATACTTCATTCTTTTATGTTCTATTCGTTTCAATAGATACGTAATCCAATAAAATTTTGTAAAAAGTGAGTGAGTGTTGGAGAATGTATGATAAAGTTAGTCAGAGTGTAGATAAGTGAGTGGATGTATAAAAAAGGTGAATAAATTAAGAGTGTGGAAATGTGTTATTGTGGAATAAGAAGGGGATGATTGTAAAGAGAATAGGCGTAAACAGAATAAAGCAAACTGAGTAGAACATAAGCAAAAGAAGGCTGAAGGGAGTACTTGGTAAAAAGTGTGCATGAATTCATACCAGTTCTGAAATGTGTGATTCTGGATTATTTACATGCTACGCTGTTGAATTGCTGGATGGCCTGGATCTGCTGATTTAAACAGGAGGAGAATTGTGTTGTGCTCGTCTATAATGGTGAATTACTGGATGTGCTGATTGAATCTAGGATGAAAGTCTTGTCTATTCCTACAACTGTAAAATAATGTATCACCTAATGATAAGGCCATTGTTTATATTCAGGAAAACAAGAATGATGAAGATCGTCTTCCTGCTCCATGGCCTGGAAAAGTTAACTTTGTTGAGATTCGATCGTTTTGGCACATCTTCAGAAGTTTTGACAGAATGTGGAGCTTTTTTATTTTGGCTTTGCAGGCAATAAGTCTCTTCTGATTTCTCCAATTGGACAGAATCTTTAACATTGTGATTGTGAAGTCAGCTTTTCAAATTTGGTTATTTTCAGGCCATGATTATCATTGCTTGGAATGGCACAGGAGACCCAAGTGCAATATTTGAAACAAGAGTTTTCAAGAATGTACTAAGCATCTTTATAACAGCTTCAATAATTAAGCTTGTGCTTGGTAGGTGCTGTATATAATTTGATGCCTAAATTGCTTTCACTATTTATGCCATTAAGTTCATTTATGTCATGTATTCTAGTCATTCAAATTTTGATCTTGTTGGTTTTTGAGTTATGATTGGATATGCAATTAATTTCAGTGTTTATTCTTATTTTTTTTTTTTTTTTGCTTGTTCTCAGCTGTCCTTGATGTGATTCTTGGTTGGAAAGCAAGACGAACCATGTCATTTCATGTTAAGCTTAGGTATATTTTAAAGGTTGTCTCTGCTGCTGCATGGGTGATAATCATGCCCGTCACATATGCGTATTCGTGGGACAACCCTCCTCCAGGACTTGCGCAAACTATTAAAAGTTGGTTTGGGAGCAACGCTCACTCGCCTTCACTGTTTTTTTTGGCTGTTGTTATCTACTTATCGCCAAATATGCTCTCCGCTGTGCTGTTTATGTTTCCTTTTGTACGATCTACTCTTGAAAGATCTGACTGGAAGATTGTGATGCTGATGATGTGGTGGTCACAGGTAGTCTAGATGAATCTTTTTCCCCTGACTTTTGTTCTGAATGCTCTTTACGGCTTTTTCCCCTTAACAGAATTTCAATTTTCTTTTACAATTCTGAAAATTTTCAGCCGCGGCTATTTGTTGGAAGGGGAATGCATGAAAGTGCCTTTTCGCTTTTCAAGTATGTTCTAAGTTCTGACGCCCAATTCGTATATGGAATCTGTTTGTTCATGTATTAATTTTTATTTCCTCTGAAATTTCAGATACTCGATGTTCTGGATCCTCCTCCTCATTACAAAGTTGGCATTCAGCTTCTATATTGAGGTACACTTCTGTTGTGGGATTATCAATTCCTGGAATATTTCTACTGATTTTGAGCTTTTCTTCTTTGCAATTGTGGTTAAGGCATAAAGGATTCGGGTTATCCACACAGTTTCTGCCTCCTATTCAAATTTATGATTAGCTTATGGATTTATGGGAGTGATCTAATACAACTAAATAATTGACTTCTAATTCATTTTTTGGTTTCTAAAATATTTCAAGGCAGTAGTGGACCTAAAATCTTTCTTTTACGTCACTTTGGCAATTTCTCTCAAGTCCCAGCATCACATGTGTCTTGGATGTGCACAAGTATTTTTTCTTACCTTTTTATGCTACCGGCTCTTAGCTTACCATTTTTCCTTGCAGATAAAGCCTTTAGTACGTCCAACACAAGATATCATGTCGATTCGGATAATACACTTTAAGTGGCATGAATTTTTCCCTCAAGGTAATAAGCATGGCATCTTATATTTGTATATGCAATCATTACATGAAATGCTATGATTTTGTGCTGTAATTTATTAATGAGATAATGTTGTTTTTGCAGCAAGGAATAATATTGGTGCTGTAATTTCACTTTGGGCTCCAATTATCCTTGTATGTTTTAACTTTAAAGGCATACATCATTCATAATTACTATTTGTGTAATTGTGTTTGGAGTAGTCTTTTTTAAAATTATTTTTTCGTTTACAGGTCTATTTCATGGATACCCAGATTTGGTATGCTATATTCTCCACATTGTTTGGAGGTATATATGGTGCATTCCGTCGTCTTGGAGAGGTAAACTTAGTTCCTAGAATGAATTTCCTTGTATTTAAAGCATTGGGTATCAGTAGGATGGGGAGAGTATATCGTTTTTGCTTCCTTCCATCCTACTTACTTTTTTCTTTCCTGCTCCTAACCTTTTTTTTTTGGTTAATTTTTTTAATAACATTTGCATTCAGATCCGTACTTTGGTTATGTTAAGATCTCGTTTTCAGTCTTTACCGGGTGCTTTTAACGAACGCCTTATTCCCGCTGAAAAAACTGAAAAAAAGAAAAAAGGATTGAAGGCCACTTTCTCTCGACGGTTTCCTGATGTAAGCTATCTTTTGTTCTGTTACTGCTTTTGATGTTCCTTCTAACTCCATATAAATATAAGAAAATGCGTGAGTCACCTGGATGAGTTGTGACTTGTGAAATGCAGATTTTTAGAGTTGTATCATGATGGTATTTGAAAGAAATCCATAAGACCTTGGACTATAGCCCTTCTCGTTGCCTCTGTTTCCTCAGTTTCCTTGCTTGTAATTTGAGGCCCTAGTGTTATAGCGTTAGGTTATCTTAGGCGATTCATATACAACAAAGGAGCACAATGAAGTTACGTAAAACATGTATATTATCCAGTCCTTTATCCAGAACAGAAAGTCATCTTATAGGCTAACAATGACTTTCTTATGTGAAAAATGGAGTGTCGGAAGTTATTGGGAAGGCAAAAGGGAATATATCAATAACTTGTGGAGGTTAGGGAATGTGGAGGACCTCACCACTGAATGCTAGTCTAGTACTAGTTTATTTACACTTTTTTCTCCTAGAATTCACAATTCTTAAAAGTCTCCTAGTTTAATTACTTCCTCAGTTTTGTACTAGTTGCAACACATTTTTTTCACGGTATTTAAGGGAAGTGGGCTCATATGACTTAAACAATTAAATTGGAACAACTCTTAATTGTGTAACTTTCTAAAAAATAATTCACAACTCTTAATAGTGTAACTTTCTAAAAAAAATTCCAATTATAGTGTGTTGCAAGTATTGTGACATTTTCCTTTAAGGGAAGTGTTATAAGTATGTGCAAATGCATCAAAGATTGGTCTGCAACATGTTGAATTGTATTACCTCCATTCCTAGACGTTTTTAACACTTTCCTCATTTGTCCATTCCTAAGAATTTTTTTCTTTCACTTTATTCCAATTTTAGCATTGTTTGCACTTTTCCACTTTTTTCTTACACCCACCCATCTATTTTACTCTCTCTCTGTATTCACTTTTTCATTCACCAACTCACCTTAGGTGTAGATATTAAAAGCCAAATAAAAAAAGGAATACAGTTAGTATAACGTTAGGGATGAAAAGAGGAGTTCAATGAATAATGTCTTGTCCTTGCACAGATGGGGCTATAGTGTCTTCCGGGGTCTTTGTCCACTATGTCTTAATTATGTCCTCTGTTTTCAAGTAAACATCCTGTTCGGCTGCCTTTACGTTAAGAATAAATAGTATAGGGAAGACTTATATGGTAGATTGTGTAAGAGAGTATAAAAAAGTGGCGTACATTTCCCTTGTAAGGTAGCATGATTCTTTACTTTTAAAGTGAACTAAATAATACTTGCAGGTAGTTTATATGGGAATGGAAGTAGTATATAATTCTGATGCTTGTATCTGTAGGATACATTGAAATCTCATCTAAATAATTGAATTTGCAGATTCCATCTAATAAAGAGAAAGAAGCTGCTCGTTTTGCTCAGTTGTGGAATCAGATCATCACAAGTTTCAGAGAAGAGGATCTCATAGAAAATCGGTGAGAGACACTTATCTATGATGCTTGTCTTTGTTTATTGTGTCAAATGCTTTTAATTTCATTTACTAAGTTATATGGTTTTTACTCACTGCTAATATTTGGTTTGAATGTTCTGTGAATTCAGGGAAAAGGACTTGTTGCTTGTTCCCTATTGGGCTGATCGTGACATTGATCTCATGCAATGGCCTCCATTTTTACTTGCAAGCAAGGTCTGCCATTGTGCTTTTGAACCATCATAGTGTGTATTTTATACCATATCTTCTAATTGATCGTATTGGTGATTTACAGATTCCTATAGCGCTAGATATGGCGAAGGATAGCAATGGTAAGGACCGGGAATTGATAAAGAGAATTGAAGCTGATCCTTATATGTCATGTGCTGTCCGTGAATGCTATGCTTCTTTCAAAAGTGTTATTAAGTTCATGGCTCAGGGGGATCTTGAGAAAAAGTAAGTTAGGTGGAGTCAGAAGTATCTTACACGCTAAAAACATACGTTTACTTTTTAAATGACTTTTGATCTTTATCTATGGTTTTCAGCTGTATAGAGAAGATATTTGATGATGTTGAGAAACATATAGATAAAGGTGACCTGGTCACTGAATACAAGATGAGTGCTCTGCCAAACTTGTATGAGAGTTTTGTCAAGCTAATGACATGCCTGGTCCGTACATTATTTACCGTTGGCTATTTTAAACTAGAATCTCTCTGTGTACTAGGTTGTATTCTTCTCTGTGAAAGCTTACTTAGATCAATTTAATTTTCAGCTGAATAACAAGAAGGAGGAGCGAGATCAAGTTGTTCTTCATTTCCAGGACATGTTTGAGGTGGTGACAACTGATATCATGGAGGATCCTAGTGTTATTGAAGAAGTTCAGGAGACTTCAAATAATTCAGGAATGGCATCCTTTGAGTTATTTGCACGGGAAGGAGCAATTAGGTTTCCAATTGAACCAGTAACAGAAGCTTGGAAGGAGAAGGTATTTTATTGGTACTACTTAAAATGTACTAGGTTTGCACTTCTGGTTCTAAAGTAATATTTTTGATGGGGCAGATAAAACGGCTGTACCTGCTGCTTACTGTGAAGGAGTCTGCTATGGATGTCCCATCAAATTTAGATGCTAGACGCCGACTCTCTTTTTTTACAAATTCACTATTTATGGACATGCCCCCAGCACCGAAAGTTAGAAATATGCTTTCTTTCTCGTAAGTTTGAATTTTATTCAGCAAAAGTGTTATGCATTTAATGCTATTTTAACAATATGGTGGTGTAGAATAGTTATTTATTCACAACTATGTTTTCAAGATGCATGAATGAAGAAACCTGTGTGCCTTGTCATTCTCTTGAATATGCCGATACCAGAGTTATGGGTCCTACTCTCTCTTGGTGAAATCACATTGTCCCCCATTTTATAGAGATTTCTGTCAGTATTAGATTGAACTAAAGTGTTTGCCTCTGCGTTACTATTATTGTCTTGTTGACTGCTTGTTTGTGTATATATCAAGGACCCCTATTATTTACCTTATCGTAGACAGATTATATGATAGCAGGGCAGGTGGCTATACCACCTTATACTGTAATCATATCTAGATTTCTTTCCCCTAATATCCTTTTAATGCAAGCATGCTATCTTGTCGACCAAAATTGCATCCAACACATTTTCATTACATGTACGTATCAGGCTGGTTGGTAAAGCTGTGTTCCTCCTTTTTTTTCTATTGAAATTCAAAGTACTGAAGGAAGTTGGGTACCCTTGTTCAATGTATTTCCCTGTGGACCTAGATTCGAAATTTACTAATGATAAACAACCACATGCTCCTAACCAGTTTACTTCTTTTCCTAGTGTTATAATGTTGTTTCTCTACCCGTGTCTTCATTCTGGGAAGTTATCTTTAAGATTTTTTGATGCAATGGTGTATTTCAGTGTCTTGACCCCTTACTACACGGAGGAGGTTCTGTTTTCGCTGCAAGATCTGGAAAATCAAAATGAAGATGGTGTATCCATCCTATTCTACCTGCAAAAGATTTTTCCAGGTTCCATACTGTTGCTAGCTTTTGATTAATTGTATAGTGAATTCTTTTTTGCTTTGCTGTGGGCATAAGTTATGCTTATTTTATTATGTCACTGGAAATGCAAACAGATGAGTGGAGTAATTTTCTAGAACGTGTCGGATGCAGTGAAGAAGAACTTTACACTGATGAACATGCAGTTCAGTTACGCCTTTGGGCATCATATAGAGGCCAGACTTTGACTCGTACTGGTATAAATATTTCGTCTATCACCTTAGGCGCTTCCTACCTGTTTGATTTATGGCTCTAAATAGTCACTTGGTGGGAACATGTGCAACTGTATCACTGGATATAATGCATCAACTTTAATATCCCCTGTTTTTCTAAATAACTGCAGTTAGAGGCATGATGTACTATCGTAAGGCTCTAGAACTTCAAGCCTTCCTTGATATGGCAAATGATAAAGGTATCTGTCAAAACCTGGATATTTAAATCATGGATTCTGTCATACTAAATCTGAAAGTGAAGCTGCCAAAATTTAACCATTAGTGTTTGAGTTTAACTAAAATTTTCCTTTTGATAGTATTGATGGAGGGTTACAAGGCTCTTGAACTGAACACTGAGGAGAATTCACAGAGTGAAAGATTGTTGTGTCAAGCTGTTGCTGATATGAAGTTTACATATGTTGTATCTTGCCAGCAATATGGTATACATAAAAGATCGGGTGATCCGCGTGCGCAAGATATATTGAGGCTGATGACAACGTGAGTGTCTAATTTATTCTTTGTCATATAGGGGTCCAATTAATTCCCATTGTTTAACTAACGATTTTGACAAGGATATAATGAGAAGTCTTTTATAATGACAGATATCCGTCACTTCGTGTGGCTTATGTTGATGAGCTTGAAGACCGGAGTGAAGACAGGTCCAAAAATAAAGATATGAACCATATGGTTTATTTTTCTGCTCTTGCCAAAGCTGTGCCATCTTCTAATTCAAAAGAGCAAGGGCAAACTCTAGATCAGGTAATGTTTTGCTTGTTGGTTAATGTTACCTTGAATAACGTAGTTACCATCAAAGCTATTTATTTATAGATGTATGATAGTGTATTGTGCCTAAACCAACTAAACAAGTCTACTGGAGTTGTATGTTATATCTAAAAATAAGAATTATTTCATTATTTGCATATCTTAATATATGAAAACATGAATTATTTGCATATTTATTAAATTAGGGTTGTGCTTATAAGCCTTCTTTTCTAGTCATATTTTATAGACTAAGTGCTGAATTCTTGTCTTTCCAGTTTCGTTGATAAATGGAATTAACCTTTGTGTGAAATAATTTATTGTTGGTAATTTTTTGGATCTTCAATGCCCCAAACCTTTTATGCTGGCCAATTATTGTTTTGTGCACCCAATGAACATGAAGGCTAAATTTAAAGAATGTAATAGAGTTAGAGTGAATAAACTTGAACCCCAAAGCAATGAAGAGGATGTATTTTAAGTGCAATAAACATGTTTTATCTCCACGTTCATACACAAAGAAGTTGTATTTCAAACCAAAACACATGTTCTTTTTTTTATTCAAAAATTAAAAGAACAAGGGTCGATTGAGAAGAATACAGAATAAATGAACATATAATTCAAAACCAAAGAACATATGTTGTTCTTTTGACCGGGTGGACCATGATCATTGTGCACCCAGGTACACCAAATAATTTGTGTATATTTCCTTCATTTATAGGATGAACCTTCTTGTGTAGGTCATTTATCGGATAAAACTTCCAGGCCCCCCAATCTTAGGTGAGGGGAAGCCTGAGAATCAGAATCATGCTATAATCTTCACACGGGGAGAAGGATTGCAAACAATAGATATGAATCAGGTTAGTGACTGCTGATAATGATGATATAATTGGTCTCTCTTTTTCTCTCTCTCTCTCTCTCTCACAAGGTAAGATTCCAGGATAATTACTTGGAAGAAGCTTTGAAAATGAGGAATCTGCTTGAAGAATTTCTGATAAAGCATGGTGGTGTGAGATATCCTACAATTCTAGGACTTAGAGAGCATATATTCACTGGAAGGTTGGTATTCCTCATGTGATTATGTTGTGCTAATTCATTTGTGTATAAATTTCTCGCTTTTTAGTATGTGTTTTTGTTTACAGATGTGTTTGTTTTGTTTGGCAGTGTTTCATCTCTTGCATGGTTCATGTCAAATCAAGAAACAAGTTTTGTCACCATTGGTCAGAGACTGCTAGCTAACCCATTAAAGTAAGTTGGTCCTTTCTCTCTCTCTCTCTCTCAATTTTTTTTTGATAAAGGTAAGCTTTATTAACAATGAAACACAACACAAGAAAAGTTTTGAACAGGTAAAAATCCCCTCTGAGGGGAAAAAAGCCCTGCTCACCCTTGGAAGGTAGCTCTCAAAGAATTACAATTTGAAATTTCTAAAGTAATCACACCTTTCAAGTATAAAACAAAACTTCACTTAAACAAGATTGTATACAAACTAATTTCCATATGTAGCATGATCTGGGAATGGCAAGTTTTGTTCAAGTAGTACCATATACAGGTACAAAAGCTAGTGTATGACTTTTTAAAGCATAGAGTTAAGGATTCATAGACTCAATGTGATTTGGACACGGGTATCAAAATACAACAATTAATGTATGTAGCTTTTTTTTAGCCTGAGGAATTTTTTTAATGGTGAATGTAGAAACCTGTGAGAAGACAAAAGTGAACAGAGACATCTCGTCATAAAAGATTGAAAGATACAAAGTGAACATATACAAACAGTACCTTGTGTTTCCCCACTTGCTCACTGTTCTCACTCCTTTAGGACATTAACTTGTTCTGCTTGTCAGACCTCATCCCTACTTTGGTGAGGGATGGGAGTACCACTGTAGGAGTTGTCAGACCTGTAGTATTCAAGTGCAAGCTGCCGAATTTGTCTTGGTAATATGTGTCATGTCAGTGTTATGTCGATATGGTTACGTGAGGTATTTCTCCGAGTTTGGGTAACTTGGGTGTGGAAATGTGACTCAAAGCTGTCTTTTGTCTTAACTCATAGGCTCATAGCTGAATTCAAACTTCAAATCTTCTATTATCTGAGAAGAAGCATAATATTTTATATAGACAATTGTCTGAATAGATGTTCTCCAAACCAGTAGCATACTATATAACTTCCTTTTTGTTTTTCCCAGGGTCCGCTTCCACTATGGTCATCCGGATGTCTTTGACAGACTCTTTCATCTTACTAGAGGTGGTGTGAGTAAAGCTTCAAAAGTTATTAATTTGAGTGAGGATATCTTTGCAGGTAAGAGTAGTGCACTGGTTCTACTTGATCTGTGTCAGTTACAATGTATGTAACTTATGTGATGGTATTGTTTTACAGGATTTAATTCTACTCTCCGTGGAGGAAATGTTACTCATCATGAGTATATCCAAGTAGGGAAGGGAAGAGATGTGGGGCTTAATCAAATTTCGATGTTTGAGGCGAAAATAGCCAATGGCAATGGAGAGCAGACAGTCAGTCGTGATATATACAGATTGGGGCATCGTTTTGATTATTTCCGAATGTTGTCATGTTATTTCACCACAGTTGGTTTCTACTTTAGCACCCTGGTAAGTACACATTTTGCTGTCTTGCTGTCAATGAAATATTTCAGCTGATCTCCTAACCTTCTGCACTTTAATTCTGTTTACAGATTACTGTGCTCACTGTGTATATTTTCCTTTATGGCCGTCTTTATCTCGTGCTTAGTGGCCTTGAGGAATCATTGAACAATCAAAGGCGATTTCGGAATAATAAGCCGCTTCAAGTTGCTCTGGCTTCTCAGTCATTTGTTCAAATTGGATTCTTGATGGCATTGCCTATGTTGATGGAAATTGGTCTGGAAAGAGGTTTTCGAACTGCTCTAAGTGAGTTTGTGTTGATGCAACTGCAACTTGCTCCAGTTTTCTTTACGTTCTCACTGGGAACCAAGACTCATTACTATGGGAGGACATTGCTTCATGGAGGTGCAAAATATCGACCTACAGGTCGAGGGTTTGTTGTCTTCCATGCCAAATTTGCGGACAACTACAGACTGTATTCTCGGAGCCATTTCGTGAAGGGAATTGAGCTTATGATTTTACTTATTGTATATGAGATTTTCGGTCAATCTTATAGAAGTCCGGTTGCTTATATCTTTATTACCATATCAATGTGGTTCATGGTGGGCACTTGGTTATTTGCTCCCTTCCTTTTCAACCCTTCTGGCTTTGAATGGCAAAAAATAGTCGATGATTGGACAGACTGGAACAAATGGATAAGTAACAGAGGGGGGATTGGTGTGCCTCCAGAAAAGAGTTGGGAGTCATGGTGGGAGGAGGAACAGGAGCATCTTCGCCATTCTGGCTATCGCGGAATTGTTGCTGAGATACTGCTATCTTTGCGGTTTTTTATATATCAATATGGGCTTGTTTATCACCTAAAAATCACAGAACATACTAAAAGTTTCCTGGTATGTATCAATGAAAGAGTTGTCCTATCTTTTCTACAAAAATTTGCATGTCATATTAATTGATGAGCTGTGTTACAGGTGTATGGGTTATCATGGTTGGTGATCATGTTAATATTATTCGTGATGAAGGTAAGCTCAAACGTACCAATGATACCAATATATTCTGTATATTATTTGACATGCCATGCTTGTTTTTTTTTCCTTTTCTTTTTCTATTCTTAATGGGGTAATTTACTTCATTTCTGTTTTGGGTAACCTATAATTTTTTTTTTTATAACCCACTTTTATCTGGTCTACCTCTTATATACTTTCTGTATTCTTAACTGAGTTATTATCGTGATCACTTGTTTACTTTTCATATTCTTAACGGGTTTGTATCATGTTCTTCGTTGCCCAATAAACACTTGTACACAATAATTTGATTTGACTGCTCCGGGGTCTGTATTTAATTTTTTGAGGTTTTTGGGGAATGGGGTTATACATTGCTTTCTTGTTGGTTTGTACATCAGTCTATTTGTGTAAGATTTGGGGGAAATGGGGATGTACATTGGTTTCTTGATGGTTATTTGCTGTGAGCAGTATGTAGTTTACGAAGTTTGAATTGGCTAATTAGTTATGTTGCCACAGTGCATGACATGCTCCTCCCTTGTCTGCAGACTGTTTCTGTTGGACGACGGAAGTTCAGTGCAGATTTTCAGCTGGTATTTCGGCTAATCAAAGGCTTGATTTTCCTGACATTTGTCGGTATTCTGGTTACACTTATTGTGTTGCCAGGCATGACATTGCAGGACATCATAGTATGCATTCTTGCTTTCATGCCCACTGGTTGGGGTTTGCTCCTGGTGAGTATTTCTGTTACTGTCAAACTTTATTAAGTAGTTCACTTTGTCTTGATGCATTGCATTTCGGTGAATCATTACATACGTTTAATCTTAATAATTGACATGAAAAGTTTAGTTATTAAATTGTTACTGGCCCTTTTTTCTATTGTATGTTTTTATTGCGTTAGGGAACTTATTAATCATTTCTTGTTCTTCATAAATTGTCTGGTGATGGTTCTTAATTAATTTTCAGATTGCCCAAGCAATAAAACCTGTTATTCGTAAGTTTGGATTTTGGGGTTCAGTGAGGACACTTGCGCGTGGGTATGAGATTGTGATGGGATTGCTTCTATTCACACCCGTGGCTTTCCTAGCCTGGTTCCCATTTGTCTCTGAATTCCAGACCAGAATGTTATTTAATCAAGCATTCAGTAGAGGTCTGCAGATCTCGCGTATTCTTGGTGGACATCGTAAAGACCGCACATCCCGTAACAAGGACTAGCCTTATTGGAAGTAGACCTAGTCATGTATTAAGTTGCAGATCTACCCTGTTCTGAGTGGCTAGCTGTTGTAATTATGGATTCATGCAGCATTTTTGGTAATTTAAAACATGGGTTGCCAATTAATTGTTTATCGGAATCATGGGAAAAAGTGTTCCTGCATATTTGTCAAGGAATTTGGTTTCTACTTTAGCATATTGCATTAGGTTAGATATAAAATGCAATAGGTTTATTTTATAACTATTCACATAATCACACGTCTTATCTTGACGGTTTGAATTACTAACCTAATTTTTAGATTCAATCTCAAAGTATATTTTCAACATGTTAACTTTGTATGGAATAATTTATAATTTACCAAAAAAAAAAAAAAAAAAAAAAAATTACTAATTTATAATTTTTAAGTTCTAATGGAGGGTATACAAATGTTACGAGTATCAGATATCTAGACTATCAGAAAATTGTTTTGCCTATTTGCACAAAATGAGAAGTTTTATCCAAACTTTTATTCTTCTTTTCTCATGTCCACTATCTACTAACAAACATCACAACAAGAATATTGTGAATTCTGCACTACTACGTATTAATAAAAAAAAAACAATAATGAATAAAATTCTCTTTTTTTTTTCCTAGCAATGGTGAAAATTCACAAAATTTGCTTCAAATTCCCAATTATGGCAAAAATTTGGAAATTGAGATTATATATATTTCATTCATAATCAATAGAACGGATGAGAGAGAAGATGGTGATGGTGATGGTGATGAGACAGAAGTTGATGATGGTGGTGGATGAACTGATTCATCTAGAGTCCTCAAGTTATTAGAGGATAGTAGTTGGTTGCTTATACAAAAAGCCCTTTAAGTTGCTAAATATTACAAAAATACTCCTGGTTGCATCTTACAAGGTACTATTGATTGAATAATGCATGGGATGGTGAAATTTGTAATTAAATGGAATGAATTCTTATTATTTTTGTCATACTGTGTGGGAAGTTAATAAAATGACACACCTTAGATACATAGAATACCACTCTCTCTATTCCTAAAAGTTCTTACAATTTTTTTTATTGTAAGAATTTAACCAGAAATATTGTTAATTTTTTTGTTTGAGGATAAATATCGTTAAAGTATTTTTTTTTTTTTTTTTTTTTTTTTTTTTTGACAATGATGAATATCGTTAATTGTGCAATAGGAAAAAACAAAAAAAAATGTAACAATTAAATATTAATAAATTACTCATTAAAACAAATCAAATAATACCCAACAAAAAATAATGGAGTATATTACCGCATGGATGGGAGAATGTCTCCTAGAGTCCTAGTGGCTTCGGACTAGGCACTTCGGAAGTCGGGGGTGTAAATCCCCACCCCAGAGTGTCTCTAGTGGGGTTTGATCCCACAACCACTAGATGATTTCAAATAGGTTATACTACATATTTATTATTGCCCTAATAATACGAGTATGCATTATTATTCAAAGTAAAATCGGTGCATTATTAGGGCCTCACATAATCACACTATTTAAATTTATTACTCCCTCTATTTTATAATAATTGCAACATTTTAACTGACACATCAAGACACAACTTTAACTATTAATATTTATAATTATGTATTCTTAAGAAATATAAAAGCTTGATTTAACCTAAAAACTAATCTAAAAATATTTTACATATTAATATATGTTTTTTTAATACTACATTGATAAAAAAGAAAAATTGCTAGTAATAATCCCACCTTTTGATCGTTCGCGATTAATAATCCCACCTTTGGGATTTTTTTTAACAATCCCAACTTTATACCCAATCCGTTCAAAATGGTCTCAACCGATCAAGTAACCTGTTATAACAAGTTACGTGACACGTGGCGACTTGTGATTGGTAAAAAAAAAAGTAATTTTTTTAAAAAAGTTAGATATTTTAAAAGAAAAAATAAAAATAAAAAAACCACCCACCAGCTGCCAAGCCACCACCACTGTCGTCTGAGCCCAATCCCCAGCCTCGCGACTACTGCCACCCAGCCCCCAACGACAGCTCCGGCGCCGGCGTCGAGGCCGACCCCTTCCCCTGAAAACCCCCTTTCCCGTACCGATCCCAGCCCCCTCCCCTCGAAAACCACTTTCCCGTCCCGATACCAGCCCCCTCCTCGTCCCCTATCCATATTCCAGCCGCGTCGACTGTCCCTATCCCCCATTTCGACCGCTCCGTCCTCCCCCGATCTAGATTCACGCCGTTTCCTAGTCGGTTTGGTGGGTTGCGATTTTTCGAAGGGGTTGAATGGGTTGCGATTTTTAGAAGGGGTTTTGGGGTTGGGCTGGCTGAGGTGGGATCCTATTCGGCGTGGTGGTGTAGGGATGGTGGTGGTGGTCTTTTTATTTATTTGATTTTACTTTTTTTTTTGTTAATTTTTTTTTTTTAATTTTGGACAAATCAAATTGTGACACATGTAAAATAAACTGAATAAAAAAAATTACCTCTTTAACTAGTTACTGATCCCGGAACCATTTTAAGCGGATAAAGTATAAAGGTGAAATTTTTTAAAAATATCCCAAAGGTGAAATTATTGATCGCGGACGCTCAATAGGTAGGATTATCCCCAATAATTTTTACTGATAAAAATAATACTGTAAAAAATTAAAGTATTACGATTATTACGAAATAAAACAAGTAAAAAATTAAAGTTATTTTTACTACGGCTGAACCGTATAATTTTGGTGAACACGACTGTAACGAGCAAATCTGTTAAAAAAACAAAAACGACACACAAACAAAAACTGCCACTTCACACATAATCGTGGTTTTTTCAAATATACTTTCCATTCCGATACTTGTATATCCATTTTCCGATCTTAGGGTTTAAGCTTCACTTTCACACTCTTCTCCTCCTTTAGTAGATCAAAATCATGAATTTCAACCAAATTTGAAGCTCCTATAACTCTAATTTTCGACAGATTTAGTTTCAGAGGTATGAATTTCTATTGTTGATTTTTATTTTTAATTGGCAGAAATTTCTGTTGCCCTCTTTGTTTTCGTTAATCTTGAAAATTAATGTGTCCCTCTTTGTTTTCGTTTATCTTGAAAATGAATTTGATAGATTGTTATTTTTATTTATGTCTGTTCTTAATTTAAAAAACCCTTTAATTGCATCAAAATTTGTCAACTTGTATGTTTAATTTATATATTGTGAAAATGAGGTAATTGGGTGTTTTGATGATGGTTTCAGTCTGCAATTACATGATTTATTGTTTGTCGCATTGAATTTTGGGGAGTAGGAGATGTCTCGGGCCGAAGAGCTATGGGAGAGGTTGGTTAGGGCAGCTTTGAGGAGTGCTAGGAGTGGTGCAGATGCTCATGGGAGACACACAACTGGGATTGCGGGCAATGTGCCGTCTTCGCTTGGTAATAGTAGACTTATTGATGATATACTCAGAACTGCTGATGAAATTCAAGCTGAAGATCCTAATGTTGCTCGAATACGTAATGTTCCGATTCTGTTTTAGGCTTCGCTTCTATTAAAATTATATTGAATTATTGGTGGTTCTTCGAAATATTGTGTATGGGTTTTTGATTTATAAGGTTGCCTCTTGTAGTTTGTGAGCATGCATACTCCATGGCTCAGAATCTTGATCCTAATAGTGAGGGAAGAGGTGTTATGCAATTCAAGACTGGTTTAATGTCTGTGATCAAGGTATTACTTCCTCCATCTTTTTTAATTTTGGAGAAAAAGGAAGAAATATATGTTAAAAACTCTCTTACTATATACTCCGTATTTTACTTTGCTCTATGAGCAATTGCATGTTGAGCCTGCGTATACTAGATTGCAAGCAGCATTCTTTTGGTATTACTGTGCTTTATATATGTTAAAAATGTGGTTAGCTGCCTTATGCAGTGTGCTTGAATGTACTGTAGATATGATAATACATCCTGCTAGACTTGGCCTGTTAGACAACTAATAGCTGGGGTAAAGGTGTGAAATTGTGAATGCTGGGGTTAGAATGACTATCTTCTAGGGTTTCTGTAATGTTGTTGTGTAGCGTGTGTCCAAGATTTATATATTGTATCTAGATGATGCTCGGATGTGGATACATATATTTGGATAGTACTGTTGAGTAAATAGCCTGGCACCAAAGTCATAATTCTGTCGGATTAATATTATATGCAAAATGATTGAATTTCTATTTTTTAGCCAATTGTGAAGCAACTTTGTTTTTGGGTTATTCTTGTTAACCAGATTGTACTATGATATGATTGTCTCCTTCCAAAGAGCAGAACATTGGAATATTATAATGCCACACTTCCCCACATCATTCGTCGTTTGCTGTTAAGAACTTAATATTTTGATACATTTACATTTTTCTTTCTCTTGCTTAAAATCTTCATTTGGGATTTATATCTGTGCAGCAAAAATTAGCAAAGAGAGAAGTTGGAAGTATAGATAGAAGCCAAGATATTGCTCGTTTGCAAGAATTCTACCGGAAATATAGACAGATGAATAATGTGGATCAGCTATTGGAAGATGAAATGAAGCTTCGGGAATCGGGAGCTTTTACTGGGAATCTTGGAGAGTATGCTCTTCTGCTCGAGCTGATTTTTCTTCTTCTCTGGCTTCTTTTATATTGCTCTCTGATTTCTGTTTGTTTTCTAAACAGTATGTGCTAAATTCATCAAATGCAAACTTGCATTTATACCTTATTTTTCTTAGATATTGACTTTAATTGACAGTAAGCACACTTGTGCTTAATGGATGATCACATAATTTACCTTTAGGAATTTTCAAGCTGAACATATATACAGCGATGTGATTTCTACCAATTGGGCTAAACATGGAAGAATAACATTCCATCTACTGTGGCTTAACATGTATAAAAACTAGGTCTATTACTGAGCAAAAGGCAATGCAGTTATTGCATGACTAAATGTTGAGGCCATAAGAAGTTTGAAAATATATACAAGGTTTTACATGCGTATTGTCTGTATCCTCCAAAATTTGGAGATGCTTGAGTTGTTTACTTGGGGATATATCTAATCCTCCTGACATATTGTGCCATTACAGTATGTTCTGTGTGTAACAGTGTTTGTTTACCACATACTTGTGACTATAATATATAACAATCATTTTTCAATTGAAGTGTACTTTATGGTCTTTATCTAATGCTGTCTACCTTACTAATTACTACAACCCTGGTAGCATGGGCAGCTCAGACCAAGCTCGTGTACATCATATCGAATGCAGTGTTTTTCATTATTTTTATTCTGGCTTTTTTTTTTTTTTGGGAATTTCAATGAATAATTTTAATATTGAATTG